GTTCAAGGCAGGGAGGAGGGGGAAGAAGGAGGTTTTAAAGGGGAATAATTTTTCGTGATCAGAGATTCATCATGTGCCTTTTCTTTTTCTTGTTAATCGTACAAATTGATGGAATTTTGGGTTTGGGATGGGTTTGAATTTGAATTAAAGTTCAGGTCAAAATTACATTAAATTAAAGAAGAAGTGGGATTTGAACAAATTTTGATTGAAACGTTATTTAAGTCGCTTTTCCAATAGGAATTACTTGGAAATCTTAGATATCTGTGGTATTTTTGATGTGTAAGGGTTCTTGGTACGTGGAAATGAAATTTGAGAAATTGATCGATTGAACTAATGGAGAAATAGGATTTTAGAGAAAAAATTTGTATCAAATGCCCCAATAAGAATTATTCGATTCTTAATCTTAAATATTTTTTGGTATTTTTGATGTAAGGGTTCTTAGTTAGATGGAAATGAAATTTTAAAAATTGATCGAAAAATTGAAAGAAAAAATAGGATTTTAGAGAAAAAATTATCAAATGTTCCAATAAGAATTGTTCGATTCTTAATTTTAAATATTTTTTGATATTTTTGATGTAAGGGTTCTTAGTTAGATGGAAATGAAATTTTAAAAATTGATCGAAAAATTGAAAGAAAAAATAGGATTTTAGAGAAAAAATTTGTATCAAATATCCCAATAAGAATTATTTCGATTTTTAATATTTTTGATATTCTTAAATATTTTTGATGAATGGATAAAAGTTTTTTTATTTGAAAGGAGGTATGAATTTTTTGAGTTGTTATTACCGACATAATTTCACTGCTTGTTTCTTGAAACGAAGAGAACAAGTATCCAAGAAAAATTGAAAAGTTACTTAGCAGGAACGAGAATTCCATAAAAAAATTTATCTTTAAATAATTCCACGTTATTCGCATCGCATTCTCACGAAAACCTCGCTAATAATCAACCTATATTCAACAGAGAAGCAAAATCTAAAAGATTAAAATCTGGTTGAGGGAGGAGCAAAAGAGAAACACGCAGAATGATTCACCTACTTCGATTATCGTTGTTATAATCGTTACACACGTGTATGATAAAAACATAAACTGTTTGATTCTATCTAAAAAAAAAAAAAAAAAAAAAATCGACCGATATTCATACAAAACGTAATGGCAATCAATTTCCCTTTTGTTTCTTTTTCTTTTGTTATTTCTATTCTCTTATCCAAGTCAAGAATTTTGACATTGTCACGATGAAGAAAAATTGATTTCTATATTTATCCATATTTATAAACATCTTCACAAAATTTCTCGCTTCCTCCCATTTTATTTGCATCGAAAACATCTTTCGATCAAACATCTCTTATGTATTTAAAATCCTAATATAATCGTTTTACTCCCAACTCATTTGGAAGAAAAAAATATATCCATCCTATTTCTCGAATAAAAGGAGAAAAATAATCAAAAATTTTACATTTCATACGAGCTCGCTCTCGTGTTTTACACCTAATCTCTATTTTTAAAATTTTCACTCGCGTAACCAACAGAATAATTGCGAATAATTCACGAGTGATTAAAATCGAATTTCGAATCGAATACGTCGATACACGTGTAACTTATTCACCAACCGCCATCTTACATCTTATCGACCATTTTAAACGCTTCCCAGAATCATAATTTCCATCAACGATCTCATATTCTCCCCCCCTACCAATGATCATCATATTCGATGCAATTTTACCGTTTAAGGCAGTCTCCCTGAAAAGAATAAACCTCGATCAGGTGGCGCAGGAACTTAATCGCGCGAATCGAAACGTAATAATAATTTTTTGATTGAAAATCGAGTGTATGATATATATATATATATATATATATATATATAATAATNGTCGCGTTGTCAATTAGACCGTGCAACGTTTTGATTGGCTGCAATTGTTTCGCGATAATGGTTTCGATTGCACGTGTGTACCTCGAATGGAATGGAATTTGGTTACATCGATTGTCATTCATCAACGGAATCACGCGATTGTTAGAAACGAGAAGATTATTAAGATTCTTTCGAGATTTCTAATAATAAGTTTATGAGTGAATTATCTCGAAGATTATTGCGAACTAACCTATATCTTCTTCGCTCTTTTACCATCGAACGATAACGAAATCTCGACGACAATTTTTTACTTTCGAATGTAATTTTTCATTTCTCTTTTGAGAATTTTCTATTTTTATTTTTTTGTATTGATTTTTTAAATCGATTTAGAATTATCATTTCGTAATTTTTGAGAATTTGGTGAGAATTTTTACGAATGTGTGATTCGACGATAAATACGACGGAAAATGTACTTTTATAATAATAAAACGATCGGTTTAATTTTCAATTTATCAATTTTTTTCGCGATCAAAAAATCAACAATGTTTATTAATCGGAAGATTAAAGGTATTAAAAGTGGAAGAAAAAAAAATATCGGTTTAAAAATTAATCCGAGTACACTGTATTTTTTTCCTTTTTTTTTTTTTTTTTTTGCGTTTTATTTTACGGAGAATGAATATGTTCCTGTATTGGAAAAATAAATCAACACCGAGCGGTAAACAATCGAGAAAAACGCAAGTCGATTAAATTCTCCAAATTTTTTCCAAATAGTAAAACTAGCGAAATCCACCGTTAATTATTTCCAATTTTTTCCGAAAACTTGAAATCAAAACGAAATCAACGAAATCGTAACGGAATACATTTTGTTTCGTTGCAAATCGAACATCGACTACCATACTTACTAATACTTAACTATGGTAAGATAAAAATATTCGACAATCGCAATCCGAAATTTCAAATTAAAAATTTCTCCATTTTACATACATACGAGTTCCTACGCCACTGCGTCAAAGATAAGAGGAAACGAATTTTGATCGTTTACGAGTCTCTTTATATTTTATAAAGACTAGAGAAAACATTATTCACTGTCAATTTTTATATAATATGAAAAAATGAAGAAAAATGTAAGGAAACTCGCAAACGATTAAATCAACTTTTAATTATAATAATCCTCAATAAGTGTACAGGTGTATCTCTGATTTCGACATCTCGATTTTCTCTAGCATTGAGAGTATCACTCGAAAACATCTCTTAAAGTAATAATTGTTAGTTACAGATAGATTGACTCTTTTTTTTTATATAGAAAATCAATCGAGTTTGCAAATGCAATTCGATGTAAAGAAACAAAATACTATATATATCCTTTGAAGAGTTGAATTATTAATTAAAAAATCAATTGATTAAAATTTCCATAGTAATTCAAACTTTATTTATAACACTAAAATTACTATTGGTAGCCTAAATGGTATTCATTTTACGTATTAATTACGATATTATTTCAATCAAAATTGTAATTGTGAAACAGAAGAAAGAAAAAGAAAAATGTGAAAAATCTATAATTTTGCCGGTGTTAAAATGCTCGAGTAATATTTACAATATTGGAATTTCGATTCTCGGAACACCAATTACCGAAATTCTCTCTCCATTATCCAAACGTTCCATCATCTTCTCCACCATCCAAACGGTGTATTTCTATTTGCATTCGTTTACTTTCTTGTATATATATCGCGAATTTCGAAGCTTATTATCAAAACGGAATCTCTTCGAAATCACGTTACGACGGATGAAATTTAGTTACAGGAAAACCCCTTTATTCCATTATCCCAACGCGTCTCTCTCCCCTATTGGTTCCGATAATCGAGCTTCCATTGCGGTTATTACGATTGATCCTCGTTACGCACAATAACCTCACCCTAACTCAAACTGATTTTTATATAATAATTTCTTCAAACGTTTTTTTTAAAACTTTTAGAACTTAGACTTTTCGAAAATTTCAGAAAATCAAAAACGGTGATTTTTATATAATAATTTCTTCAAATGTTTTTTTTAAAAATACTTAGACGCTCTTCGAAAATCTCCATTCGAATCCAATCAAACAATTTCAACAACAATGAATAATGAATAATAAAAATTACGAAGAAAATCAAAAACGGTGATTTTTATATAATAATTTCTTCAAACAATTTCCAACAATTTCGACAATAATGAATAATGAATAATAAAAATTACGAAGAAAATCAAAAACGGTGATTTTTATATAATAATTTCTTCAAACAATTTCCAACAATTTCGACAATAATGAATAATGAATAATAAAAATTACGAAGAAAATCAAAAACGGTGATTTTTATATAATAATTTCTTCAAACAATTTCCAACAATTTCGACAATAATGAATAATGAATAATAAAAATTACGAAGAAAATCAAAAACGGTGATTTTTATATAATAATTTCTTCAAACATTTTTTTTAAAAGTACAAGTTCGACGCTTTTCGAAAATCTTCATTCGAAACCCAATCAAACAATTTCCAACAATTTCAACAACAATGAGTAATAAATGAAGTAAGTAGTGATGAATAATATGAATAATATATAAATGAGTAATGGATAATAAAAATTACGGAGAAAATCGAAAACGGTGTCGAGATCAGAGATGATTTGTTTGTATAAAAATAATAACGGGGAGGGAGGGGGGTTAATAAATTGGAAAGAATCTCGAATTCATCGGGATTTCGATCATCGTAGATTTCGTGGAGAAATTGGAAAAGGAAACGAGTGTGTTTAATCGTGTGTTCTATTGCAGACCTAGGGAGCCCATTCTTCCCTGGTGGTCCTGAATTGTGGCACCATCCATTGGCGTACTCGACCGCTGGCGAATTACCAGGCACGCTGCAACACGCGACGCTGGTGCATCCGGCGTTACATCCTCAGGTCCCCGTACGTTCCTATCTTTGACTATCTGCAGACAAAGCTCTGGAGCCGCCGACGAGCGCCCCGATGCACGTTAGTGATACATGATCGTTATACTCGATTATTATACGATACATCATAGCAGGTAGACACACGCATCTGGTACCTGGAGAGAGAGAGAGAGAGAGAGAGAGAGGGAGAGAGAGGGAGAGAGAG